ATAGTCTCTTAGTAAATTAAAATTACCTGATTTTTGTCTCTTCTCTTATAGAGAATTGGCTTTATAAACACTTCTTCAAATACTTTATTACTTTCAAGAGAATTTATCATCATTCTCAAGAAGTTCATTTGTTTTATTAAATAATTGCAATTCTTTGTTACTTTCATCAGATTTTACTACTAATTTACTTGTATTTTTTAATAATTGCCAGTTAAAGATATTTTTTTTTTCATAATATTCTACCACAATACTTTCACTAGATTCTTCACTAACAAATGAAGCTTCTTTACTAACAAATAAAGTATTAGATAAGAATTTTTCTATATTTGTTTTGATAATATAATTAGATTTTAATTAAAGTTGTAATAATTGATTTGAAATACGTTAGTTTTATATCAGAATCTTGATACACAAAATTTTAAAACACAAAATCTCAAAAACAAAAATCTTGATACTTAGACTAGAGTATATAAATCAGAAGAGGTGAATTCAATTAGGAGTTCAACTTTAGATTGTGTTTTAGAATCAGACCAAATTAATATATTAAATAATAAATTGATACAATAGCTTTAAGTAATCGTAAATTGTGATTTATGATGAAAAACAATAAATTAAGAGTTATATAAGATACAGTAAGTGTAAAAATTTAAATATTGTCTTCAGCTTAAAATGTTTATTAATTTATATTTATTTATTTATTTATTAGATAGATTAAAATCTGAAAAACTTTATTAAAAATAAAATACAAGTCTTTAAATATATTTTTCAACATATATAAATTTTTATACTATTCTATTGTTGAGAGAATTATCTACCATAATTATAATATTCACTACAAATATAACTTTCTCTAAGCACCAATTAATCACTTTTATCATTGATCTTTATTTACTTAAAATGTGATTCTAAAATATTTAATGACTTGTTTATGTTACTAAGTAAGATAATCTTTAATTAGCTGCTTGATTAAAAAATTATGCATTAGTATCGATTACTGATATTGATCTATTATAGATCTGTCAATCAAAAAAGTTTAATGACTTATTTACATAGACTGGATATTTACTAATATATGCTTAGCATAGATTTAGCAATCATCTACTTAAAATTTTTACTAGTAGTGATATAATTATTCTGTAATTAGTACAGTATTATTAAAGCTTGACTCTATTTTTATCTAGCATTAGTATATTTTGTTTTTGTTATTGTAAATTAATTGTTTTTTATTATCACCCAAACCAGATTTTACTCAATAGCTTCTGCCATATATCAAAAATAAATAAATATGTTTCCTGCTTTTGGCTTATCTTTTGTATCTAATAATTTATTATTTATTTATTTTTTTCAAAAAAATTTTATTATTCTTGTGGCATCTCTTAATTGAAGATTCTAATATTTAGATTACTATTTATACTTTAAGACTAGTTCAAATTTA